TTTCTATCCCAGTGGGGAGTGACCTACTCCTTGGCTGTGCTAACCATGCCAAACCCAGCTCAAGCAAGCACAGCGTCCACTCAAATCAACTCTGACACCAGGGGGATCTCAAGAAAACTGGAGTCTTATCACATGGAGGAGGTGGCTTCTGGGCCCTTGTGCTGACTAGTTTTATGTCAACTTGACACAAGCTAAAATCACCTGGTGGGGGGGGCTGGAGAGACGGCTCAGAGGTTAAGAGCACTGACTGCTCTTCCAGAGGTCCTGAGTTCAATTCCCAGCAACCACATGGTGGGTCACAACCATCTGTAATGAGATCTGGTGCCCTCTTCTGGCCTGTAGTCACATATGCTGTATACATAATAAATAAATGAATTTAAAAAAAAAAATCACGTGAGAGGAGGGAACCTCAACTGAGAAAACACCTCCACAAGATCAGGCTGTAGGCAAGCCTTTAGGGCATTTTCTTAATTAGTGATTGATGGGGAGGGACCGGCTCAAGGTGGGTGGTGCCATCCCTGGGCTGGTGGTCCTGGGTTCTATAAGAGGGTAGGCTGAGCAAGCCATGAGGAACAAGCCAATAAGCAGCACCCCTCCATGGTGTCTGCATCAGCTCCTGCCTCCAGGTTCCTGCCCTGTTTGAGTTTCTGTTCTGAATTCCTTCAGTGATAAACAGTGATGAGCAAGCCTAACAAACCCTTTCCTCCCCAAGTTGCTCCAGTCATGGTGTTTAATCAAGGCAATAGTAACCCACTAAGACAGCCCTGTAGGCCGGTCCTGGCCAGGCCTCCTCGGGGTCCTAGCCTCTACCTCCTGCACTCTGCCCTGTGTCCTCTCCAATGATCCCATTCTCTTTCTTCACCCATCCAAAGCCTGTGCATCTCAATGGGTCCAGAACCAGGTACAGCCCTGCCACCAGAGAATTTCCACATACCTACAGGTTTGGCACACACCTTCCCCGGTGAGGCCGAGCCACAGAGGTGATAGCCCTCCTTGCCCGCCTCTGGTTGAGGAGTCCTTTGCATTTATTTCTCTTCTCTTGTTTTCACAAGTGAGTTACTCTTGTCTTATCATGAGGGTAGTCCTCCTCCTCACTTTATCCTGGGCTATTAGTAAAGGAGTTCCTAGAAGGCAGGGCAAACCATCTAAATGAGGAAAGAGTAGAGAGCTTTTCTGGGGGCCACTGGTTGGTGTCTCTCGTAGTTTTTTTGCTCAGAGGAATCTGATCACAGGAAATTTCACCAATTAAGGTAAGTGGGCTTGATTTTGATGAACCCAGGTTTTACTTTGAGACTGCTGTTCTACAGCAAATGTGAGGGTGCTTGAGAGTGGGAGATGAAGGGCCACAGGTCCAGACTTTCCTCTGAGGCGGGATCAGACTGGCAAGGAGCGTCTGGCCCTTCCCACCATCACTCCAAATAGTATCAAAATAAGCAAAGGTGGAATGGGCATTCTTAGCATCCCTCCATCCTCAGAGGCTCTAGCTTGGGACCCTAGGCCTGAACTAGCTCCTAGGACAGCCTCTATACCTTCTTGTGGTGCTCCCACGCTTGGTCATGTCTGGGATTTGAACTTGAGGGCCTGCCACAGTGTCATGGTGGCAGAGAAAACACTGATTCCTGGGCCCAAGATCAGCACACCGTAGCCTGAGGGTGCTTCTTCCTCTTTGCCTGGCCCAAGGTTCACCAGAGCGAGCCGGGCTCCTCTAACAGCACTGAGGTCTTGGAGGTTTGCCCTGGCCTTGGCACACCACAACACAGTCCTCACTGCTGCCTTCACCCCTTACCACAGCCTGACTAGAGAGAGGTAGAGCCAAGAGCCATAATGCATACAACCCTCTCACCTGCACCAGAAAAGGGCTAACATAGGGTTATTCTATGGCTTTGCCAAAAGGAGAAAACACCAGCCCTACCTTTTTTTTTTAATGGTGCTGAAGATGTAGTTCAGTTGGTAGCATGCTTGCCTGTCATGCATAAAGCCTGAGTTTCATACAGCACTGCTTTTTTAAAAAAGGGTGGTGGGCACAGTGTTCATGCCTATAATCCCAGCTCTGGGAAGGTAGGGGCAGGAGGACTGGGAGTTCAAGGCCATCGTCCTCAGCTTCATAGTGAACTCAAGGCTAGCCTGGGACACACGAGACCCTATCTCAATAAATAAACAAGCAAACTGTGCAAGTCAGGAAGGTGGCACCTATATTCTCAGGGGCTCAGCAGGCTGAGGCAGGAGCGTCACTGGAGCCCAGGAGTGTGGGGCCGATCTGTGCAACAATATGAGACCCTCATCTCAAGAACTAATGTTTGGGAAAGCTGAGAGGAGTTGGGTGTACTTGTTACTCTTGCAGAGAACTGAAGTTCAGTTGCCAGCATCTGAGCTGTGGGAACAAGTCTTGAGCACCTTGAGGCTAGGCTCCAGGTCTGCAGAACTGTCTAGACTCTGGTTAACATCTCAGATCTTGGAAAGGTCAAGCTCCCTACAGTAATGCCACTGTCTCCGGGGACAGTACACGTTGAGCACACAGGGACATGGGCATAGGTGATTAATGTATCCAGATAGGAGCTTCTCCGACCCTTAAGTGAGTCTTGCCACATAAGTTGGAAACATCACGTGACCTTGCCTGGTAGGAAGTAAACAAGGTGAGCATGCTCTTGATGACTGAGATGGTCAGTCCCTTGGAGGAGTACAGCAGCTGCGCATAGCCCCAGCCCCAGGACATAGCCTTGACGCCCACTTCTCTTCCTCCACTCCCCAAGTCTGAAGAGCCAGATGTCCACGCTCTCTCCATCCTGACTCTTGCCCAAGCACTCAGGCACTTCCAGCAACACCCTCCCCACCATGCCCTCCAGTGCCAAGCCACCCCCCTCTCCCTCCTTGGGCCTCCTTCTCTGGACGGTTCTGTCTGAAGTACTCTGGAGGCTTACCTTTTGACCTGTGATTTCTTATGCTTCGTACAAGCTCAGAATCCCCTCCTAAAACAGGCACAAAATCCACTTCAGCATCCTCACAGTGAGCATACCTTGAGACTCCATTCCTCCAAAACCTACCTGAGGGCTAGAACCTAGGAAGAATCCTACATTCCAATTTACCTCACAGGGAGTGGACCCCCAAGTCTGCTCACTACCCACCTCCCTGCCCTTTCAATTATCAACTTCCTTACCCAGCACTTCACCTGAGGTATTCAGTGGGGATCCCCACGACTACAACTATCCCCCCCACCTCACACAGTACCTTTCCTAACACTAATCACATAACCCACCACTTACGGCCCTGGGATACTTGCAGTTAGAGGGCCTAAGCCCAAACTTTTTTCCATGTCCTAAGGACCAGCTCTGCCCAATGCCTCTCCCAGATGCCCATCATACCCAGGCTCTTGGGTCAAGGTCAGCAACCTAGCACCAGGATTCATTAACCAAGAATGAATTAATGAGCACAAGGGGACCCTAGCTCCCTTCTCCACTACATCTTGCCAAACAAGCCACCTCAAGAAGTTAAAGAAGGGATGACCAGATGCAAGTAGGTACACCTGGCCCTTTAGCAAATGGAAACAAAGACAAGAGACTGAACAGATAGGATGGCCCTGGCTTCATCAAGAGCAGGACACAGGCAACAGCCCAGACACTCAGAATTATAGCTCACCTCTTGGGCCTCAGCTATTGTGGTCTCCATCCAAGACCACACAGAGCCAAGGACAGCCAGGGTCTGCCCACTAACTGAGGAACTCCTGCAGCCAGCCGCATGTGTACTTTACAGGGTCACTGTCCTATACCATAGGCCTCTCTAAGCTTGTTGGTGGGTTGCAGTGTCTTGGGAGTGTGGAACCCAGAGCCAAAGCCTTCAGGGTGCTCATCAGGCACTGCAGGGGATGCAGTCAGAGGTGGAGACAAGGTCCAGTATGGAAGGCAAAAAGAGAGGCACTGGCCACACTCCACCAGGTGAGGGGCATAGCCAGGGGTCATCTTTGTGACCCTGAAGAGAATGGTCTCCAAGGACAGCTGCTTGCAAAACACGTGACTCTCAAAATCCAGTCTGAGAAGCAGCTCTCCGGGTGGGGAAAGGACATCCAGAAGGTGGGCACAGGTGGGCACAGTCAGTGCATCCAGAGGTGGGCTCAGGGATGGAGCTACCCTACTGTGCACAGCTGGATCCACACCCCTCTACAGCAAGTCGGACTGGACAGCAGAGCTCCTGCTGTGGATCACAAGGATGTGGATCCTTGCTTCAGGGAGGTGAATGTGAGCATCGGGCAATGCAGTGGACACAGGCCCGGCAGGCCATGGGTCTGTATGGCACGGCAGGTGCCAGGCCAGGGAGATACGTAACCATCACCCCTCACAGGTAAGGCCCCTCAAACAGCCTCATAAAGGCCCCTCCCCAGATGCCACAAAGAGACCCTCCTAGGCCCGAGGAATTTAAGCACCACAGATTTGGGGTGGAGGTCTGGGAGAGACCGCCTGCAGACAGACATCAAGGCCTGTGCACTGGGCCAGGGCACTGCGGGACTGGCTAGTGTCTGGGGCAGGGCCAGGCTGGGGTGACATGAGGCCAGACGGCTCTTCTGGCTGAGGCTGCATGCAGCTTCAACTTGGGAACAAAGCTGGCACCTGATCCCATTGATACCGGCAGTCATGAGCCCGAGTCACCACAGGCAGAGGGAGTCTGGGAAGGGGCGGAAGTATAGGACACTTCTGAACCTGAGCGAGGACGTGAGGCCTGGACAACTGTGGAGACTGGGGAATTGGGGGGAGGGGGTCAGGATACCTCAGTAAGAGCAGAGTCTGTAGGGACAGACGCACTGACGAGGGAGAAGAGTGTCTCTGGCACAGGCCACAATGGACCTCACCCAGGAACTTCTGAGAACCACCTGAAGAAGAGACCCCAGAAATACCTGTTTGTTCCAGAAGTGCCTGGCTGCCCCGCGGCCGCCAGCACTCACCAGTCCTCGCCACTCTGCCCAGCTCTTAGGCAGGGGACTTGTGAAACAGGAAGAACAGCCAGGCTTTGGGTACAAAATTGTAAACACAAGTCTTTAAAATGACAGAGGCCTCCTTGGCCCCAAACTCTGAGCCAGGGGCCCCTACCATAGGTCCAGATCTCCTGGAACACAGCCCTCCCTTTCCCACCCTGGCAGCCCAGCAGCAGGCAGAGGTTGAGGCATCTCCACTCGGGACCAGGCCTCACCAAACTGCCCCTGTGCATCAAGGTGAGCCGGTGGAGTGGAAGTTGAGGGTCCGTGGTCCGAGAGATTCCTGAGATGAAGAAGCAGACGCGGCCCCGGCACCCCAGGCACTGCACAGGTATTCACAGCCCCTGTCCCAAATGGGAGCCTGCCCCATCCCATCCCATGCAAACCGCGCAGCTAGTCCAGCGTCTGTGCGGCCCGCGGGGGGGGGGGGGGGGGGGGGGGGCCTGTCACGTGTCCAGCGCATCGCGAGTGGGCGAGGGCCCGTGGGGGCGCACTGGCGGACCATGCAGTGGCGGAGGTGGCGGCACCGAGTTGCGCTGGGAAGGAGGTGGTTGCAGCTCAAGCGCGAGGGCGGGTGGTGGAAAGTCGCGAACCTGGCGACGGTACTCGAGGAACGTGCAGGCCTTGGTGGCCAGCGCCACCACGTTCTTGCCCACGAAGATGGCGGAGACTCGGCTATCGCGGAAGAGTGCCATGTTGGCGGCACGGGCCAGCACAGCCACCACGTTGACGGTGGCCAGACTGAGCACCGGGTACAGCATCATCTTCTGCGGTGCGATGTGCTCCCCCTGCATGCTGACCTCGCTGAGCGCCACGCAGGGCAGCACCAGCAGCAGCATGTAGCAATAGAAAAAGGTGAGGCCTTCGGCCCACAGAGGCAGCCCGGTGCGCGGCGGCTCCCAGAGGTTGGCCTGCATGTCCAGCAGATCCAGCAGATCTAAAGCCACCCAGAAGAGGCGGCCGCGAAGGTCCTCGCGCTTTCGGAAGGTGCGCACATACTCCATGCGGTCTAGTGCCACAAGCAACAAGAACAGGCCCGGCACGCACACGGACAGCAGCAGTGTCAGCGCCTTGCGAGCCACCGGGTCGGCCGCTCCACGCCGCGCCGCCTTGTAGTTCTGAAAGATGAAATAGAGCTTGATCTCCAGCACGAAGATATAGAGGAACCAGAGGATCATAGCGTAGCCACGCTTGGCCGTGCGCACCTCGGCACCCACCCACACGGCCACGTAGCGCAGCACCAACAGGAAGCACACATCGCCTACCAACACAATTATGCACACGCCGATCTTGCGCGGGCCCTGATTCTGCTCCACCAGGTATGCGTCCATGACGGCCATACTGCCCATGATCACCAGCGTGGTCAGGCACACGTGGCGCCGGTCCGGAGGCGGCAGCACCATGGTCAGCGGCCCGGGCTCGGCCCTGGCGCGCGCAGTCCCCACGCAAAGCGGGACCAAGTCCTGCTGTGTCCCAGAGAGCAGCGTCCGCGACGCTCAGCCCTCCGGCATGGCGCAGCGCAGCCGGGCGCGGGGTTTGTCCAGCTGCCCGGAGCGCGCTGCCGCTCCCGGGCGGCGAGCTCGGAACCTGGGAAAGACCAGATACAAGTGAGATTGTGCTGCAGAGTGTCACCGAGATTAGGGTTGGTAGGGCACACGGCAGCCTTCCCAGGCCTGGCTGTTTCCTGCGTGTGGTGCTGTCCCCACGCCCGGTGCAGGAGGCCTCCTTGGACGCACGCACGCGCCGCTGCTAGCACCCGAGACCTGGAGCCCGGGAACGGGGCCTCCAGAGGGCGCTGAAGCCCCACCTGAGGGACCGATCTCATTCCCGCCACCGCCAGGAAGGAAAAGGAACGGAAGTGGTTCCCCCCTCCCTCCCCCATCCCCACTCGCATTCTAAAAGCCCTGATGATTTGTCGCGGCTGGACCCACACCTCCGTCTCTCCTGGCTCTGACAGGAGCTTTAGGCTGCTTCTTTGGAGGTTCTGGGCATCCTTGCCTGGTGCTGCGCTGTACTAAGCGCACTAGAATTGGAGACCCAGGTCCCACCCTGGAGACAAGGCACTGAGCAAGTTTTTCGATCGTAGATGGACAGTCATTCGAATCCTGAGAAATCCATCCTACCAGCCCCTCGTACTTTTCTATGACTTGCACCACCCCCCCTTTCCTCTCTCCACAACTCAGTCTCTCCCCTTCCTGAGGTTGTTTAGGACAAAGCAGATCATTATCTTCCCTGACCCACCACAGCTAGCTATGGCCCTGGAGAAGTGCTCTCTCTCCTGAGCACGCCTCCTGCCGTCTCCTTTTACCTGAACCAGCACACTTGCACTTCCAGTTCCTCTGACCGGTCCGGGCTTCTGCTGCCTGCTTCCCTCCACCTTCCGGGCCAACCTCAGGAAAACTGTCGCCACACTGTCTCTTCCTCAGTCCCCAGCACTGGCTGTCATGTCTGTGGTACCCAGATCGTGGGCACTCGTATCTGGGCCTGTTCACACTTCGGGCAGCCTTCACCCACCCAGCTGAAAGTCACTTCCAAGCAGGGCTCTCCTCTCCCTAACACCTGGTACAAGGGCTCTCTGTTCACTGTCCTGTCTAGACAAAGACATAAAATTTATTGTCACCCGTGACCGTGATGCATTCAACCTGCCTCCTGGTGACACCACAGTCACCCTCAAACTCCACGGTCCCTTCCTCCTCTCAGCCTTGGCCCCTCTATTTACTCTTTGGGTTCTCACAGCTACACCACAGTTTCAATAATGTGTTGAGGGAGGCATCTGCCCACACCAGGGCTCCAAAAATCCACACACGCCTGCTTCTCAGGTACACACTCCATTTTCATGCCCACTGGTTAAGTACTCCTCTCCCAGGAAGCACAGGCTGGGCCCAGTCCTGACCCACCTGCAACTCCACTGGCTACAGCCAAACACTGAGAATTCCCTTCCTCTTAGCAACTGTCCAGGCCAAATAGGCTCTGATGGCTAATCCTTCCTCCCCATCATCTGCACGCCATCACTCCTTTGCTCAGTCACTGTCAAATGCCAAACGCCACGAGCAAAAGGCTTTAAACTAGGAATGGACAGACTCCAACCCCTAGGAGTGTCCCGGCCTCCGGAAAGCCAGAACCCAAGCCTGGTGTCCCCTCCCCCACACTCTGTCCTAGCCATGTTCTCAGGGACCAAGCCCAGGTCCACCTACCCTGGGTTTCTCATGCCAGGCCCAAATGTCCATCCCTACCAAGCCTGCCCACTGCTCAAACATCACACACAGATTCGGGGCCTCCAAGCTCTAAAATGCCTGCCTCTCCCTCAGCTTTGCAAGGACCCCCTACTCGCTTGGTACCTCCAAAAGAGAGGCTGAGGCAAACAAGGGTCCTCCCTCCTCGACCCCGGACAGGAGGGTCTAACAGCTCCCAGCAGGTTGTGTCTCAGTTTGTCTTTTCCCACTAAAGGTTTCCCCAGTGGTGGCTGGGCCTGGTTCCGCCGCCATGCAGCTGCCCCTGCCCATCCCACGGCCTGCAGCCTGGGGGCGGGAATAGTACAGGCCCAGCTAGCTGCCGCTGCAGCCGCCGCCTACCGCCCAGCTCCACCGACCCGCTCAGCCCAGCAGCCCGCCTCCTGCTGCCCCGCCGTTCGCATCCCGCGCCTACCGGGCCGGCCAGATGCAGCGCGCCGGCCGGCCCCGCCGAGCCTCAGCGCGGGGGCCCAGGCGCTCGGTGCTGCGCTCCGCCCCTCCGCCGCGGGCACCGCCTCCGGCCGAGGCCCCGCCCTGCGCCCCCGGGACGCTCAGACCCTAGCCAAGAGAGGACCCGGGTCCTAGGGCCGTTGCGTAGCACGGGTTGCCATGACGACAGTTCTGCGCAGCTCCTGCGCCCATGACAGGGGGCACTAGGTGCCAGACAACCCGGCATCCACTCCAGCCCCCGTGGTCTGTCCACTTGGCCTCAACACACTGCAAAAAATCGTCAGGCAGGTCTCATCAGTCCTCTTCACACCCTGAAATTCCTCTGTAGCCCTCCAATCTCAGACGGCCACTAAGGTGACTCTGCTCACCTACCACAGGCAGACCGCTGGACCCCGACCCGCGGAGGTGGCCGGATGTAGGGGCGGGGCTGATTGTCCCACTAGTCGCAGTTATACCTCCTGGCCAGACCTCCCCAGTGGCCCACAAGGACACACATGTCAGGGCCTAGACCTTAGCTCTCTAGTTGTATACCCTGTAGGAGAAACCCGACTGTGAGGCTCTCGGTAGAAGGGCCAGCTGGGAGGACATCAAAGGGGGCTAACGAGGCTCCGGGCTGGACCTCCCTCCAGGTCCTGTTCTCACGGAGCACCCCATTCCTAACATGCCATGCTGGCAGCAGGGCTCCCTGTCACTGGAGGAGGACGACAGGGAGGCTTACTGGTTACCTCCACCTCCCCCTGCTCCGGCTGCAGTGTCCCTCTGGCAAGCACTGAGGACAAGGGAGCTGAAGGGACTAGAAGGGGGTGCAGCTGGGTTTCCTCAGCACCCTAAACAAGACATCGGGTACACTGACGGCCAGTTCTGAATAGGTGGTGGATTCTGTTCTGGTGACTGATCTGTGGCCCTCCCTTGGCCCTGGGAAGCTAGATTAGCAGGCCATGGTGGGCCACCCTGGGGGCGGGGGAGGTTCTAAGATGCCCATCAGTAGAGAAAAGTAGGCAAGAGCAGGTAATAAGCAGTATCGATGCCAACCAACCCACTCTCTCCTCCTAAGGAGTGCAACAGGACCCCAAAGCTCTCCTTTGCCCAGGAAGAGGCCCTACATCCTCAGCCTCAAGGATCAGAGGGCTGGACATCAAGGCCAGGCCAGACCCAGCATGGAGAGAGGAGGTAGCAGTTCAGAGTCCCGGGCCTGGGAGCAAGACCCCCCTGACAGACTTAAGCAAGGCTGAGTGAGAGGGTAGGTACTGGGAGGAGAGGGGTAGGCAGCCCATGTCAGTCCTGTCTGGTCTGTTTCTTCCTCCTTCCTCTCAGCCATGGTTAACCCAACCCTCACCTAAGACCTTGCAAGCTTGCCTCAGAGCTCTGCACCACGTCAGCATCCTCAGACCTTTGGCCAGATGATCGAATGTGGGAAAATGGACTCTACAGCTGTGTTCATGGTAGGGACCACAAAAAGAGACGTCACCCTGGACCACATGGGTGGCCCAGAGTCTTTACCAAGGTCCTTAAGATAGAAAGGCTAGGCCGGGCGGTGGTGGCGCACGCCTTTAATCCCAGCACTCGGGAGGCAGAGCCAGGTGGATCTCTGTGAGTTCGAGGCCAGCCTGGGCTACCAAGCGAGTCCCAGGAAAGGCGCAAAGCTACACAGAGAAACCCTGTCTCGAAAAACGAAAAAAAAAAGATAGAAAGGCTAGAGCGTCAGCTCAGAGGGCTGCGAAGAGGCCGCACCAGCAGCTCTGAAGGAAGAAGAAGAGCCCAGAAGGCCAGGGGCATGGACTTCTCTAGAAGGTGGTTACATCAGCGCATGGCCTCAGAGAGAAGCAGCCTTGATTCTAGCCTCCTAAGGCTTGGGCCTATACCACACACAAGTAAACTGTGTTGCTTCAAGCGGTTTGTTACAGCCACAGTGAGGAACCAATGCAATTTCTTTTTTTTTTTTAATAATTTATTTAACTTTATTTTATGTTCATTGGTGTGAAGGTGTTAGTTCCCCTGGAACTGGAGTTACAGACAGTTGTAAACTGCCACGTGGTGCTGGGATTTGAACCTGGGTCCTCTGGAAGAACAACCAGTGCTCTTAACCACTGAGCCATCTCTCCAGCTCCCCAATGCAATTTCTGACTTGAAGCAACTCCACACAAGTAAATCCAGAAAGCTTTGAGGTGTTGTCCATAAGTAAGAGGCAGTGAAAGTCAGCACTATGGCCATACCTTTATCCCAGCTACTCAGGACTGGAGCAGGATAGCATGAGCTCAGGGCTCAAGGCCAGTATCTTATAGCTTGACAAAAATTAACTCGAAATGTACATGGGCCCTAATGCAGTTAGGAAACTTTCAGAAGAAAAAAAAATCAAAAGAAAAGCCTTACAACCTGGGGCAAAAATAAATAGATTCTTAGATATGACAAAAAAGCACCATTCATAAAAGGCAAATTGGGATTTGGGGTAGAATTTGGGGCAGAGAGATGGCCTAGCCCAGGCAAGACCCTAGGTTCATCCTCCAATACACACACAAAAAGACAGATTAGATAAACTGATCAACGAACGTCACAAAAATCTACAACCTTCTGTTTGAACTGGAAGTGTGTGTGGCTAAGTGAGGGTGTCTTTAGCATTATTGGGGTCCCCTGTCAACCACCAAAGCCAAAAGAGGGGGGAAACATTGTTCTCCAAAAGTTACTATTAATAGAATTAAAAAGTCAGTGGGGCAGGGGTCAGGCACACCTTTAATCCCAGCACTGGGAGGCAGAGGCAGGCGGATCTCTGTGAGTTCGAGGCCAGCCTGGTCTACAGAGGGAGTTCCAGGACAGCCAGGGCTACACAGACAGATGAAGAACAAAAAACAAAACAAAGGGAGAGGGAGAGTTAAGAAGTCGAGATCGGTGGTGCACGCCTATAGTCCCAGCACTCGGGAGAGGGAGGTCTAGGAAGTTTCAGTTCAAGGCCAGGCTGAGATCCGTCCTTAGGAAAGAGAACAGAGACACCAAGAGAAAATATTTGTAAACACTTTCTTCTCTGAGAAAAAGGAATCCTCATGATCACTTGACTTACAACTTCTTTTTCAGCTTTATGATGTGGGAAAGTGATACATGTTCATAGGAACCAGACTTCAGGTGCCTATACCTCTGCCCCCACGCTGGGCAGCTTGGAACTGCAGTAGCTACTGGCCTCCGGGTCAGTGTGGAGTCTACAGTCTGCTGGCTGTGGCACTAGTAGGTCAGCACACATAGTCTTCCAACTTGTGATGCATGTATCATGCATTTAGATTTGATCTCACTGAAAACAGAGGATCGTCTGTATTTGGAGGGTTTGTTTTGTTTTATTGTTCAAGACAGGGTTTCTCTCTGTGTAGCCCTGGCTGTCCTGAAACTCGCTCTGTAGACCAGGCTGGCCTCGAACTCAGAGATCCACCTGCCTCTGTCTCCCTCCTGGGTACTGGAATTAATAAGTCTCAGCAGTAAGGAGCCAGGCACCGGGGTGCACACCTTTAATACAGGCACTTGGGAGGCAGAGCCAAGGGAATTTCTGTGAGTTTGACACCAGCAGCCTGGTTGACAGTGAGTTCCATGCCAGCCAAGGCTACATAGTGAGACCCCACCTAAACACAGAAACAAGCAGACAGGAAGAAGACAAACAACCCAACCTAAAAACGGGCAGGAACTATGGGTGTGGCTTGGCGGAGCACCTGCCCAGCACAAGGAGGCACTGGGTTCAATCCACCACCCTCTATCCCTGCCACCAAAGTCCAGAGATCTAAACAGACATTTCACCAAGAAGGATATATGAATGGCATATCCTGAAAAGAGGTTCATTGCTAGGGAAATGAACATCTGAACTGTGGAAAATGTAAAAGAAATGTGGTGATATTTTATATGTGCTTTAATAAAGTTTGCCTGGAGATCAGAGGAAATAGCAAGCCATTTTAAGTCAACAAAGAAGTCAGGCAGCGGTAGCACATGCCCTTAATCCAATCACTTAGCAGGCAGGGTCTCTGTGTGTTCAGGTCACACTGGAAACAGAGCTAAGTGTGGTGACACACGCCTTTAATCCCAGTACCAACTATAGAGACATGAAGGTCTGTACAGACAGAAAGTGACAGAGCTGTGTAGGAAGACGAAGTGAGGTAGCTGGGCTAAGAGAGCCAATGAGAGGGCAGAATAGCAAGGCAATAAAGGTGTGGATAAGACAGAAAGTGGCTCACATTTGGAAGCTGCAGAGTTGGTGAGGTAAGGTTGGCTGGTGGCTTTCCCTATTTCCTTGATCTAAGGCTTTCACCCCTATATTTGGCTCCGTGTTTTTTTTTTATTTAATAAGACCATTTAGAAATCTGTCTACAAAGAAATGCACTATCTCTTCTACCAGAGGGTTAAGTAAGACAAAACTTCATTTTTAAAAATAGTAAAGATGTGGGTGGGGAAGGGATTGGGAGAGAGGAGGGAAAACCTCATTGAGATGCAATATATGAGAGAAGAATAATTTTTTAAATTTAATTTAATATTTAATTTAAAATTTAAAGAATAGTGGGGTGTGGTGGTTCACGCCTTTAGTCCCAGCACTCAGGAGGCAGAGGCAGGTTGATCTAGCCAGCCTACTCTACAGAGTGAGTTCCAGGACAGCCAGAGCTCCATAATAGAGAGAC